GAAAATAAGTTTTTTCTTATCAAAGACTTGAAAGTGAAACCACCCGCTAGAATTGCCTTGTTCCATGGTGCTTAATAATCAATTAGCTGTTCTTTGTCATGTATCTATTGGTGAAAGGCGTTATGTAGCACAAAGAATTACAAGAACATCCCCAGCCTTACACAGCTTTCGAGGTGGTTGATACAAGTTCGATCAAAAATACAACAATTTAAATTCTGGATAAGTGGTCTAGAACAGTGTTTCTTAAACAGTGGTCCTGGAGACAATGAGATCAGCATCACCTGGGAGTTATTAGCTATGCAAATAGTCAGGCACCCAAAACATACTAATTAGAAAGTCTGCATCTTAGACCATGTATATTTAACAAGCTCTCCAGGGGATTCTGATGCAGACAGTGGAGAACCTCTGGTCTAGAGATAATGGGATGATTTGAGTTTCTAAGGGATGAGAATTCAGTATTATATGAAACAGTCACAGAAGACTTTCTAAAAGAAGTAGCCCCTGATTTGGGAATCACATCCTTTTAGAAATAACTCTTGGGTCTTTGTATTTAATTGATATACAAACCACTTTGTTCCCCTAAAAGGTACCAAAAGGGGACAAGTATGTTGCTCCTCCTTTACTGGTGATACATTTTAGAGGAACATGTCCAGGAGATGAGAAGCTTTTATCTGGAAAGCTGGTTTCTTGTATTATTAATCAGAAGCAGTCTAGGTTTTCTCTTTCTCTAATTCAGAACCAGGTGTATATACTCAGTGTTTATCACCCCAAAGTGATAGACGTGGTTTCTGATGATGGCCACTCTGACTTCTCTGCAGGGGTCTCACTTCTACAGATCCTGTTGTGAATTTTAATATCTGTTCTAAAGGTGGATATAAAAAGGGATGAGAAATTGTTGAAATTAAATTAGTCCTTATTTTCTCTCCTGCTTAGTTTGCTGCATTTCTGTCACTTCTTCGCCTTCCATGTGCTCTAATCAGAAGAGCAGTGAGTAAACCCAGGACTGGACAGATTTAGGGAAGCTGGCTCTTTGTAAAAGAGAGACCCTGTTTCAGAGTCATGTATGTCCCACAGGAGAGGGTCCACCATGAACTGATGGCAGATGGAGAGATGGAGAGTATATTAATGTCCAAAAGTTGTTAATGGGTTTTGTACCATCTTAATTGGGGGTCCAAAGAGAAAATGAACAAAGCTCATAATCCTAACATTAAATGTTTAAAAATCTGCATAATGGCATATGAAAGTGATCACACAGGAGAGCAGCCTCCCACACTCCCAAGTGAACCTATTAGTCTGTCAATTAACAGTTTGGGGAAGGACCTGGGGAACATGGTGTAAGGAGCCTGGGATAGAAGCCAAAGAAATATAGATGGAAGGAACACATCTACCAGGATTGCAGAAGAGAAGAGTCTGAGTTAGTTCACATGTCCTGAATGGGTGCCTATTTTGTGTTCAGGCCTGAAATGAGCACTTTGAGATCAGGAACAGATCTTTTGAAGGGTTGGGAAGACCACCAATGTGGACATCCTTAGAGGTTCAGGGTCAACCAGGTCCTACACTTGGGTGATGCTTATATCCTCCCCAGCATCAGCTCTGGGAAATGGTTGAGCTTGAGCTTGAAGTTCTGTGCTGACTAATCTCCAGCATTCCTTTCCTACCTGGGCAACTCTGTTACTTTCTTACACTCAAGAGATCTGCCTAGATTGCACATTGCATGGTCTTCCCTCCCCTGCCCCTTCCTAAGTCATCTGTCTGCAGGTTAACCAGCCATAGTTTTTATAGCACCTCTTGGATAGGTGGATGAAAAGTGGTCTCCAATCATAATGCCATTTATATTATTTTCTGCCTGCTGTAACAAATGACCATAAATTGGGTGGCTGAAAAAAAACAAACCAGAAATTTATTCTCTCACAGTTCTGGAGGCAGAGTCCAAGATCAAAGTGGCAGCAGGGCCACACCCTCACTGGTGCACTAAAGGAGAATTCGTTCTGGGCTCGTTCCACCTTCTGGGGGCTCTAGCTGTTCCTCGGCTTGTGGCTGCATAACTCCAATCTTTGCCTCTGTCTTCACATAGCCTTCTCCTCTCTGCATGTCTCTCTTCTCTGTGTCTCTTGTAAGGACACTTGTCATTGGACTTAGGGCCAGGGTGATTTTATCTTGAGATCCTTAACTGACTTACATCTGCAAAGACCTTTCTCCCTGTAAGTTCACATTCACGGGTTACAGGGAACAGAGCATGGTCGTATCTCTTTGGGGAGCTACTGTTGAATCCAATATGTCATCTTAATCACTCTCTTTTTCAGTGGTCCTTAAACTTTCGGAACTGTAAAGCCTTTGGAAAATCTGATAGAATATGTATAATTTCTCCATAGATAAATACACCTATGCCAATAAATGCATATTTTTATTTAAAATTTCAGGAGAATTTAACTCTACTGCCACCACCAAAGCCCCTACATGTGCTCTGGAGATATTTAGTCTATATCCTTCTTGAATGGTGACATCCAAGACCAATTACAGTTTTCCTTTGTGATGTAGTTAATGTAAAATAGACTGAGATATTGTCTCTTTTGTTCTAGATGGTATACAAAAATTCTGCATTAATTAATGCATTCCAAGATTACCTTAAGTAATTTTGGTCTCTCTGAAAAGTTGACTTCTGTTAGTCACATTGTGTATGAAAATTCTTAAGCCGCCATCATCATCACCATCATCATCACCACCATCATCATCATCATTTATCCTGAGCCGCACCAAGCCCCATTTCTTTATCCAATACTTATGTAGTTGCCAGAGAAGGACCTGACATTTTTCCTTGTTATGTCACATGTTATTAAATTCAGCCTGTCAAGACCTTTTTGGGTCCTGATTCTGCCATCAAGCCTATTGACTATTTCTTCCAGTTTTGTGTCACCAGAAAATGCAATTTCCGATGATGACCATTATTTTCATGTCGTCAAGTCATTAATAAAAATGATGAACAAGAAAGAGCAGACAGCAGAACCTTGCAGCTGCCTACTCACACCCTCCCTCCTGGTTGATTTTTTAATGCCTTAATTAGGTGCTGTTCAGCCACATAATTTTACTAGCACCTGGCTCATATTTTTTCATCTTTTCTTCAAGACTACAGCAGATGCTCTCAGATGCCTTGCTGATACCCAAATCAATCACGTGCCTCATATTTCCTTCTTCTAGCTGCCTAGTGATCCTTTCATAGAAAGGAAGGGGGTTAATCTGACATCATGTATTTTGTGATCCATGAAATAACTGTTGACTATTCGGAGTAGGCAGAAGTGTTTTGGTTTTGTTCCACATCGCTATTACCCTGCTACTCAGAGTGCTCCAATCAGGAAAGACTTACTAGAGGAGGTGGCATTTGAATGTGGGAGGATTTGGGTAGGGTGGATAGAGAGGGAAGAAGACACTCTTCAAAAAAATCCCACTGATTTGTTTGTTTGTTTTCTTGATGAGCTTTTAACCTAATTCTCCTCTTTACAAACAAGTAGAAAATTTTTATAAGAAATAACTGTTTTGTTAACGATTTAAAATTGACTGACTCATGACCTTTCCAAGAAGTGAATCAGAACAAAATGGTAGAAATCCCTTAGTGCAGACCGAGCATGGGTGTACTGGATTTGGAGACCACTGAATATAGCAAGAATGCAGTGGAACAGAGAGAACCTGGGGGGAGGTACCCCACACTGTGTTGGCCACACAACCCAGGATATTCTAGCCCCTTGGCTTCTACTACTCAGGGCTGAGGTAAGATTCATGCAAACACCATACAGCTTTAATAAGGAAGAGACTGAAGTTCTGCTTAATCTCTCTTTTTTTTTCCCAAAGCTCTAAAAAACTTTATTTAACATGTAACCGATAGAACATTAAAAGTCGTTTCCTGATGTGTATTTTAAGTTGGTGATCTACAGAACAATTCTGTTTCTTTCTCCGTTTCACAATTTCAGCCAGCCCCACCTCCCCCCAAGAGTCCTCATCTTTCAGATGGCAGAAGAAAATGTCCCTCGAGGAGGGTTAGTCTCTTAGGTGTCCCTGTGAGAGTTTTTTTTTGTGGAGGGGTAGGGGAAAGAGGAGAATCCAGGGCTGCGAGGCTGATGAAGTCTTGCCATCCAGTTCCTTGAAAGACTTCAGTCGGTTTCGGTTCCCGGCATGACTGGTCTCCCCTTTACATCACTGTGATAGATGCCTTGCATTGTAATTATAAGACACGCCACCCGAGTGGAGTATGAATGATCAGTCCTGTTTTCTATTTTTCTAGAAACGATTGATCATTCATATTTATAGGGCTATCAACTACTGGGCTTTGAAAGGTCAGTATTGATCGTCTAAGTCGCGCAGACGGAGTGCTTCCCCACTACACATGAATACGTGTTCCTTTTATAAGATGGTGATGATTTTTTTTCAGGGAATGGGGAGAAGAGGGCAGTATTCCTGTGAATTAAGCATTGGGAATTTCAACTAAAACGTGCTTAGATGGGATCAGAATTTTGGAATGGGTGGGGTCGATCCTACTTTGGATTAGCTAGTCCATACCCCCTCCCAACATACACAAGTACACTTTACAGACAAGGAAACTGAGTCCCTGCCAGTGGACATCGGTAAACCCAACCCTAGCACTTGTATTCAGAAGGAGGCTCTGTGTCCACATTGGAGGAACAGTTCTTCCTGGAGACTATTGGGAAAATGTTTCCTTCTCCATGCCTTTCTGTATTTTAAAATGCTGCCTGTCAGGCACATTTACTACTTTTGCAAAAAAAAAAAAAAAAAGTGGGTTTTAAACCCACAGTGACCACCCTGTCAGTTGGCTAGAGCCATGTGGGCGTGGACTTTCCCCGCGATGGCCTTCAAAGACCTGACTTTGGAAGAATCGGTAAAGCCTAGGCTGCAAGTCAGCCCCACCCCTGCCCCTCCGGTCTCTGTGCACGAGTGGCTGACTACGGGGCTTCCTCTGCTGCTTTTTTCTCCTTTCTCCCCCAAACACTTAGAGTTTTTGGCCACTTCAGCCTCCGCTCCGAATGGCAGTTGGTGAAGGTGGACTACAGATCTATCTTCAGCCGGCGCTGCACCAGGGAGGACTATCAGACCTGGCACTTGCTCAATCAGGTACAGCGCAGGGCGGGGGAGTCCTGTTTCAAGAAAGAGGGGCCACTGCAAGCCCAGCTTGGTTGTACTGGGGACTTCCTAATCGGAGGAGGGACGTGCTGGGCCATCCAAGAATAAGGGTGGCTGTGTGGGGAAGGGTTGGAGCCCACATGCTTAGGTCTGGCAGGAGCAGGTGATATTTTGGGACCATTCTGCACCCTGGAATCCTGATCTACTCTTTGAAAACACTGAGCAGCCTGGAGGAGAGGTGACAATGATGACTTGGGATTTTAGTGCCACCATGTAGAAATAAGCCCAGAGAACGAGGAGACTCCACCAATGGTTTGATCATCTCACCTTCTACTGGAAGAGGAAGATCGTTTATAAGGGCCCCAGGGGCACAGGGAACAGGACCACAGAAAAAGCGTGGAAGTTGGGAGTGAGGGGCTCTAGGAGTGGCGGATATTTAGTGCTGTGCAGTAGAGGTGGACCTCTTTTTCCTTCAGAACTGTTGGTCCCTATAATTTGTACCAACTCCTCCTTCTCTTGTTGCCCTTGACTAGGAATAAGGACCTGTGCGTGTTTTTTTATCATAGAAAGGACACTTATTGGGTCCACTTCAGTTTTACTCTGAAGATAATGTGGAAAATGTGCCAGAAGGGGTTCTTTTCCACTAGAGTTTCTCCTGAAGCCATTTGGGCAGTTGCCTGGTGGTCTGTGAGGATGACCTGGAGTTTGTGCATTCTCCATGGCAGTGGAGAAGAAACAAGGCCAGGTTGCCATCCCTGGCTAGCTTGGGTGGAGGGACAACGATAGTGGCCTCCCCTCGTGTTCCTCCGTGTGACAGTGAAAGATCGGCCTTCTAGTCTTTGAAATTCCTGGGAAGGAGATTTCTACGTAAAGTGACCAAAAGAGAATGAGAAGGCTAATGCTGGTTCATTTCCCCTCTGTGTTTTTGTGACTCTCTCTCTATGGACTTCTTTCCTAAGGGGGAGCCTTGCGTCATGGGAGAGAGGAAAATATTCAAGAAACGCAAGCCAGGAGTTCAGTGTGCCCTGGGCCGAGACTCCTCGGGGACGGTGGTCTCAGAACCCTGCGTCTGTGCCGACTGGGACTTTGAATGGTGAGTCCCTTGACATCTAATTGCTCTTTCCAACCAGACAACTACCAGTTTGGGGGATGAGGGGGAAGGTGAAGTTAGGGGTGGAAGGCGGGTCTCAGAGGTAGGAGGTGTGTCTGCTGGCCCAGGGGCCTGGCTGCCCCAGCTCCTGGCCAGGTGGCATCCCGGGGCGGAGGACAGGAGGAGGCATTTTCACAGGAAGATCATCGTCCTGTCAGCGGCACGCCTGAGGGGACTTCTCATCTTCAGTCAGCAGCTATGCTGGGAAGCGCCGGAGAGGCTGGGCTGGGCGCTGTGAGTTCCAAGAGCTGCCGCCTTGGACAGTTAGTTACCTCTGACCTGTTAGCCCAAACTGCTCTTCTGTGCAAACTCACTCTTATCATCATTTCTTTTTTTTTTTTCCTCCCTCTAATGACAACCACCAAGAACAACTTTGAATCTCGCCTATTAGCTAATGATCACAAATTTCCAAATATTTACTTCCAGCCCTGGCCTGTCTCTCCTCTCAGTTGGAGACATTTGTGTCCATCTATTTACTTAGCATCCATCTTCCCTTGAATTGCTAATAAGATTTCAGGCTTCATGTGGCCAAAGCAGAACTCTTCCTGAATACCCACTGCTGGAAGCAGTTTTTCAGCTTTTCTTAACCACCACCTGCCCCGACCAGTTTTTCCAAATACGGTGAAACACATAGACATCCACTAAGTTGCTTAAGTCAAAAATCCCAGGAGAGCTTGATTTTTCCCTTTTCCTTGTGAGTCTCTATTTCCAAAACACATTCTAACTCAGAGCACCTGTACCTGTCTCCTGCAATCTGGATCATTCCAACAGTTTCCTAACTCACTCTCTACCTCCATCCTGGTCACCCTAAAATCTACCCTCAGAGGAACCAAAATTATATTTTAAAAATCCAAATCAGATCTTACCACTCCTATGCTTAGAACACTCCAATGGCATCTCCTCTCCCTTGAAATATAATCCAGTTTGCTCTTTTTTTGGCGTGTTCCACTGTAGGTGATTTGACCCACTACCATCATGCCTTAACTTCTTACCATTCTCCCCTCATTCACCATTTTGCAGCCACACACCATCTCCTGAACCTTGATTAACCAAGCTCATTCCTGGCAAAGAAAACAGCACATGCAAGGATTTCTTCCAAATCTCAGCATGGCTGTCACCTTTGGCTCAGTCATGCCTCAGCAAAAACATCAGCTCCACAGCAGTGCCTTCTGGGACCATCTAATCTCACCTGCACCCTGGCACTCTCTGGCATATCACCCTGTGTTGTTGTCTTCTTAGGATTAATCCCACATGGAGAGATCGTCTTTTGGTTGCTTTGTTATGGTCTGTCTCTCTCCAGTAGAATGTAAGTGCTATGAGTGTGGGAATTTTGGACGTTGTGGCATCCTTGGCGCCTGGCCCATAGTAAGCATCAAATAGTTGTACAATATTTCTGAGTATTGTTTCTTCTAGGAGAGTCAAAAACCTTCCCCAGTCTGGGAATGGGGGATCCCATTGGTGATCACGGGGTGATCCTACCCTGAACCCTTCTGGATGAATTCTTCCTCTGCATCACAGTCAAAAGCTGAAGTTCAATTTATATAGTTTCATAACCCATCCCAGGTGAAAAGACAAAGCAGCTGAGGGCTTAGGGATCAGCCTATAAACATGGATAGGGCAGAATAATGACACAGTGGCATCAGGGCTTTTCTGGCTTCTAATAACAGAAGTAAGTCCAAACGGGTCCAGAACAGCAGCCTCACCCCTTCCATCCTCATTTCTTCCAGCCTGATTTGTGTTGGAAGCCCTCCTTCATCCCCCACTTCCTACCAGGGCTACAGCTGGTGACAGCACCACTAGAAGACTGTGCCCGCTTCCTCCCTGCCCCTCATCCCCGAACTCACACCTTGAAAAGCTTGACTTAACAGGAATCATCCAGGAGGGATGTGCCAAATGGAATTTAATTAGAATGGCAGGGTCCCCATCTGTAGCATTTTTGACCCCTTGGAAACAAAGGATATTTTCATCTTGGGAAGAACAATGTTTAATTATTAATCACAATCCAGAAAAATAGTCATAGCAAGGTACCCGGCAGGCCCCTCAGAATGACGGTGCATGACATGCTGATGTCAAGCTGAATATTCAGAACGTGAATATCAGGCTTCCTCGTGTCTCTGTCTCTGCATGTGTCAGGCGACATTTTCTCCCATGTCTCTCTGAGCTGTGCCAGACCTCACCCGTTGTTGGGAAACCTTGCAATGGAGAAGGAGTAAGAACTGTAACACAAATACGTTTTTTCCTTCAGCAATTCCATTAATATTTACTAGCCTGGAAAAAGAAAAAAATCCCGGCTCTGATATTCAGGTTTTGACCTTGGGAAGTTTTCCTAGTCTCTATGACTTCACCTCCTGGGCTGTACAATGTAAATATCCAGCATGTATCTCATTGGGTCCCAGGGAGGCATAAATGAATTCACATACACCGTCAATGTGAGTAAGGAATTTATCCTAATGGCACGGGTATCCATGTGGCACCTTTTGCTGCTGCGGTTGTCAATCATCTCCTCCACGGTGAAGGGATCCCCATAGGCTGTTTAGCACATAAACCAGAGTTTATACATCCAAAGAAGCACTATCTTCACAGTTGTACCTTTGGGTGTTATCCATTTATTTCAATGCTGATAGCTTTGCTAAAAATATTTCTGAACCTTTCTCTGGAAACTGCTATCAGAATGCATCTATAAGTAAAGTGGGGTGAGGGGGAAGCCCTTGCGAAACATTCTGTGGTTCTCACACTTGCATTGGTAGAGGCACCACCTGGACCCAGCACCCTATAATGTCGCATTGTTACTTTGACACTTTAGTGAGAAGAAATTTAGCCTCTGGAATGTAAGTTACTTGACCAAGGGTAGATAAGCTGGGAGAGAAGGAGGTGAGGGTCAAATGTAAGTCTAGCTGAATCCCACGCTCTCTCTTCTGTATCATGCCATGTCTCAAGAAATCCAACAGGTCTTTATTACTTTATTTTTCAGAAGAAATAGGGTCCCCAAGTTGAGTTATTGAAAAATTAAAACTTATCCTCAGATAACCCAGGTTAACTGCTGGTGACGAGGTCTAATGTAGAATGTTCCACCAACTCTAAACCAATGCCGCATGAAGTCTTTTGGCCACTGGTACTAGAATTGTGAGAGGTGTATGGTGTTTAAGAAGAATTTATAGAATTTGGAGGGCAGATGTGTATAAGACATCATGTATTTACCTTTCTATAGCCTATCATGCCTCATGTTAAACAGAAGATAGAACCACTTGAGTCTGAAGTAGGATAAACTGACACACAAGACCTGAGGCTATGTTAGTAGTTCTAATCTGAGAACAAAAGCCAAAAAAAAAAAAAAAATCATGGGACAAGTATTTTTGCACTACTTTTGAGTATGGAAGAAATAATTTGATTTCTGAAATTTCTGGGTTTTGTTTGTTTTTATGGTGGTTTTCATGAACAGTGGGGCTGAGTATTTAAATTTTGTTTGTTATTTTTTTTTAAGTCAACTTCAATAAACAAAGGTGTTGGTTAAAAATATAATTTCTCCATCAAATATAGTTTGTTTGTCATTAATGCTCATGCTGGAAAGTCAAGTATGGCAGCCGCTTCAGAGCCCTGTCTCCTTCTCAGTGCCCCTTCCTACCAGGAACTGTTTGTTGGTGGGTAAGGAAGCTGAAAAGCCCTGTTGGGTTAGTGTAAGTGATTACCATGCACATTCCACATGATCCTTTTCCTAAGCCAAGTCAGGTCATGTTCTTTTGATCGGTCCAGGCAACTTTTAAGTCTCAGATAGCAGGGAGTGGAGACTGGGGAAGGTGGCTTAAATGTCTTGATTTTGGTGGAAAAGTTAAGGAGTACAGCCTGGATTCACAAAGGACTGGTATTTTCTACCTGTATCCGTCCTCTGTTTGAAGAAGGAAGGTTCAGTAGATTCTCAGATGCATTGATTTGTAGAACATTGACTGTCACAACTTTTGCCCTTCCGCCCAGAGCGGGTGTCAGTAATAAGTATGAATTTTGCATAAATATTGATGTTTCTACTTAATGACCTCATAAATCCCCCAGCCTCATGCTTACTGTAGCGACTCACTCTGCAGCAACTCTGTCATGGCACTGTGAGGGGCCGGGAACGAATTCTCCCTGGGAAGTAAGTCTGTCAGAGACTGGTGGGTAGTCGGAAAAGGGGGCTGTTCTGAAGTCCTGTGAGGCCTCCTAGGAAGTAGGTGGCCCCTGGGAGGTCCAAATGCATTTGTTCAATGAGAAACCAGGTCGGACCAGAGACGATGCCCAGTCGTTCTCTTTTCTTACTCACTCACCCAACCACTCAGGCAGCAATAATTTGCTGAGCACCTGCTATGTACCAAGTTTTTTTTTTTTAATTGAGGTACCAAGGTCTTTAGATGGATTATCTCACTTAATCTTCTCAACCAGCTCCTGGAAGGACAGTCTGTTATGATAGCCATTTTATAGATGAAGAAATGGAGATACAGAGAGGTTAAGTATAACTCATTCAAAATAAAAATATTCTGACTCCAGAGTCCTAAGTCTTAGTATGTCTTAGAGTTTACCTTCCGTATCCAGTATGATTCCAGATCCACACAGCAGGTTTATCAGATGGTAATGTGGAAGAGAGAGAGAGGGAGAGATTTGCAGTACTATCGTACATAAATTCAGGTATCTGAAATCCATTCGATCTTTAATATTCTGCATGTAGGGCTCAATCAGGTGTATTTTTTCTGTAGACTAGGCATGGTGAGAAAATCGAAGATGTATAAACCAGAGTTATTGGGTGCAAAGAAAGCATAACAGCAAATAATAAAGAGTATAATTGGGTGCTGAATTTTATGATCCAGACCTATGCTGTACAATATAGTAGCCACTAGTCATGTGCGGTTACTTGCATTAAAATTAAATACAATTAAACATTTATTTCTCCAGTTCCAGCCACATTTTGGGTGCTCAATAGTCACACGTGGCTGGCGGCTACCATATTGGAGAGCATAGATGTAAAATGTTTCCATTAGCACAGAAAGTTCTGTGGGACAGCATTGGCCCTAGCTGCAAGTGCTGGGAACCGTCAGAGTAAAGCAATCACTGAGGACTGGAGTAATGATGGAAGGCTTCCTGCAGGAGGCAGTGATGAAGCTGTGTAGACTTGCGGCTGAGTAAGCACAAGGAAAGTGGGCAGCACATCAGAGAAAACAGATGGATGAAGATGACTAGAGGGATAAGGGCGGATGGGTAGCTAAGGATTAGATTTGGAGAAATACTTGAGCAGTGATTGTTTGGTTTTTCAAATAATTTCTGAAATGGTTTGGATGTAATTATCTTTCTATCTCTACAGCTGTTCTTAGGCTTATGCTTTAGCAAATGATGATGTTAATTCTTATTCCATTGTTTTTGTTGTGGTTGCTTCTCTTTGCTAAGTGTTCATTCTGTGCCTGCCAAAAAGCTCTGTGTATCTGATCCCAAACCCGGTGTGCTATCCTGTCTCCTAAAATGAGACAGGAACACCTGTGGAACACTGATCAGAGAGTTTCAACTCCCAAGTGGGAGAATGGAGGAACTGGGAGTCAATGAGGCTATTACATGGCTGTGCATGATCTGAGAGTAAGACACCCGCTACCCCTGGGCCAGCAGAGACTTTGGCTTCTTGGCTGGCTCAAAGAGGCTCAGAATGTCATTCTTGGGGACCAGGGGACCCTCCCTACTGATGATTAAATGAGTGTTTCATGGGATTTTTCTAATGTTGAACCAGAGGTCAGAAGTATCAATTACCATTATTGGCTGACATCGTCAGCTCTGTACAATCTCTAACAAGTCATTTCTCCTCTTTTTGCTTCTTCTTTCCAATCTGTCACCTGAGGGGACTAGACCCAAGGAATGCAAGTGTCCCTTCCTATTCTGACATGCAGAAGCTTTTTGATTTCTGAACCTTTCCTTGTCTATTCCTTCTTTGAATCCTCTAAGGCTTCTCCCGCGATGGGGTTTGGAGGACACACAGGTCCCTGGAAATGGGCAAGTTTTCCCCTAACATTTTAGAAGTTATAAACCCTTTTGTAGTCAAGGGAGACACAGAGATGACTTATCTCTTGAAGGAAACTGCTTGTGTGTTTGCAGAAGCTGTGGCAGTTTACTTCCCTGAGGCAAGTCAAACTTTCTGGTTCATTCTCTCCAAATGTCACAATTCACCAGATAAAACACCTTTCCCCAGGAAGCTGGAGCAGCAGCTGGAACTGCTTGTTTGTTGAAATCATGAGAACTCCAGTGCTGAGAGGGAGTTTGGGAGATTTTGGGCAGTATGAGAGATTTTAACATATATTTAGCAGAAGTTAATGAAGGTGTCCACAGCGAGGGGGCAGCCAGTGATGCTTCCATTCATGTTATTAAATATTCAGGTGCTTTTTCTCTTTGGGGCCAAGCAGCATGCCTGGTGCACCTTTTTAAATGACTGCATTGCTAACAGGTAGCAGAGCTGAACCGAACTAAAGATGGTTACTTTTAGCAAAGAGGATTACGATGTTCCTCTCCTTCCCAGAGCTGCATAGGAGAGTACAAAAAGATTACTAGTATTTCTCAGGATTAACAGGACAGTCACTGGATTAACCTCATAAAGCAATCAAGGGATATTCTAGAAGCGATGCAGACACGCCACAGCCCCAGTATTTCTGCAGATAAACAATACTTAGAAATCAGATATTCAGTGCTGTGCTGGTAAATACTTAACTACTGGCTCTCTGGGAACAAATAAAAAAATAAATAAATAAGCCCTGATGAGTAATGTTTGCTGAAGGCTGTAAATATTCCTACCATAGCCGATTTCAAGCTACCAACCTGACATCAGTGAGTGCAGAACTGGGAAGCACATGTATTTCTACCATACAGATACATAGAGGTAAATGACATGAGAGAGCATAAGTACCATAATAATGTATAATGACAATTTATATATAATGTTTATTGCAGCATTTAATAATAATACACAGTGACATAATGAGGAATTTCCATGTTTTGAGTATTTATTATCTTTTAAATAGGATTTATTTAATTGAAATTTTGTATAGCTTAAGTTTTGATAATAGCTGTGTTTAACAGCTATAAGGTAACTTGCAAAATTCCTGAAATTTTAAGTTATCTCGGGGGCTGTTACCAGCTAGCGCAACACAGAGTCCACGTGAACTCTCAGGCTGGAAGATCTCCAGTCACTGCGAAAGGTTACTTTGACATGCCCCTTTCTCCTTCTGTTCTTCCAGGCTCATGTAAACATGCCATGTCAAAGCTGGTCTTGAGCGCCACTATTTGCAATGCCTTGAGCGCACACTCACTCCACAGGCATCTGTTGAGTGCTTGGGATGCTCTCCGTGGGCCGCACTGGAGAGTCAACTCCGGGCTCACAGCCTCCTGGCAGAAATAGACCAAGGGCGGTGGGATAGTTAGTGCGATCATTTTAAAATGTAATTGAAATATTCAGTCACTCAGTAAATATTTATTCAACACCTGAAATGTCCTAGCTACTATTCTATTTTTATTTTTTTTAATTTTTGTTATTTTTAATTGAAGTATAGTTAATTTATAATGTTATGTTAGTTTCTGGTATACAGTATAGTTGATTCAATTATATATATGTGTATATATTATATATATTCGTTTTCATAGTCTTTTTCATTATAGGCTATTACAACATACTGAATATAGGCCCCTGTGCTATGTATTAGGACCTTTTTGTTTATTTATTTTATGTATATTAGTATCTGCAAATCCCAGACCCTTTAATTTATCCTTCTCCACCCCCTATCCCCCTGGTAACCATAAGTTTGTTTTCTATGTCTGTGCGTCTGTTTCCTAGGTACTATTCTAGACTCTTACACTGGTGGATAAAACCAACCAACAGAGGTGTCTGTTATTTTGTAGCCTCAATGTTTCCAAAATCCTATGGCCACAAAGATTTTGTCTGGAGAAGCAAGGATGACCTCATGGGACCTAGATATTGGAGAAGGATACGTAGGCAACTGCCAAACACAGAAAGGGGGAGAATGCTTCAAAAGCCCAGGGTGTAACCCACACAGAGAGGGTTGAAAGGTTGGCTTGAGTTTGTTGTAGAAAAAGATGATAAGAAGGTAGGGTGGGGCCAGACTGAAAAGATACTGTATAGAATCTCATCTGTCTATGGATACTTCCTAACTGTACTGCTGCACATGGTATCCCCGTGCTCCACGTCATCCTGTATTACTCTGTTCTTTTGTTGAACTTGAGGCACACTGTTTTCCTCTCTCTGAAAGACTGCAGGCCCCCAGAGGATAGGGATTCTTGCACTTCTTTGTCACGACACGTATTGAGTAATGAATAGACGCAGGCTTCAAGTTTTCTTCCCATGTCCCTTTCATTCCTATCCTAGTTACCCACAGACACAGTTTGCCTCCATTTTCATTGGACTTTAATTAAATCTTGGCTCAAAGAATATGGGAGAAAAAAGAAAAGAGGTGTGGGTCTGGAGAGAGTGAAGTCCTGGTTGTTTTATGTTTCATTAACACTCAGTGGATCAATATTCAGATGTCCAGATGGTTCTGCCCTGTCTGTGGGTTTCAGGAAACCCTTGAGCACTTAACTTACAAGCATGACTTCCTGAAGTGGGGAGAGTGTGGGGAGAGTGTGTGCTTAGCATGCATGGGGTCCAGGGTTCAATACCCAATACCTCCATGAAAAAAAAAAAACATAAATAAGTAAAAACACAATTTAAAAAAAAAAAGAAGTATGATTTCTCCTGCCAAATGAAGCCACCTTCAGTGACCAGGGGTTGGTTACAAAAGCAATAATTCTTACTTTCTTGCTCTTTTTCGATCCTGACATTTATGTTTCTGGGAGTTTTATGAAATTCCAAGAAGTAAGGCAACACTATGACTATTTCAGGTGGGAGCACCCCTCTCCTACACTGGTCTGGGACTTCCTCATTTTGGAGTACGGAGAAAAGAAGTGGATCATACTTGACTTTCTTTCCTCATTTTATTATGTCTAGGCTTTTACCCCCAAAAAGAAAAAAAAACATGGAAAAGGAGCTACAATTTAGTTTTTTGTGTTTTGTTTTTTTCCTGAAGGAAATGGGGGACCTGTGTTACATATAGTTGGGAAAAGTTTGAAATGACTGGATGTGTCTGTGTAAATACAAATGCATATATGTGTTTGAGAGAGAATTTCCAGGAAAAATGAAAATAAGATCAATGAAATCCATTTTGGAATAAAATGTGAAATCAACAGAGAAGTTAATTTTGACCTTTAAAGTCATCTTCTTGGCTGTCATCTACTTATGTCAGTAATTCCACTGTGATCCAAAGTGTACTTTTAAGCTTACAACATCCCTCACACCTACTCCAAGCCAGTGTACCTGCCACATTGTGTATATCCATACCTTTGAACACCTGGACTCTTAATTTGATAATCCACTATGTCTTCTCTCTGTACTGGACTCTGAATGGGATGATTTCTAAATCTGAAAATCTGTTTTCAAAGTATGAACATTTGTCTTCACTGGGAATATTTAAAGAATGTGTTGCAGGGGTCTGGGTGGCTCTAGGGCTGTTTGTATTTGTGTGTGTCTGTGGATATTTTTAGCATTTGTGCATCTACACCAGTATGCAATGTTCATTTTCCGGACAGTGACTATGGCTATGAGAGACATGGAGAGAGCCAGTGTGTCCCAGCTTTCTGGTACAATCCCGCATCCCCATCAAAGGACTGCAGCCTTGGTCAAAGCTACCTTAACAGCACTGGGTAAGTTAAACACCTGAAGGAACGCTACTGACTGCTTCCCTAGTTCCCTAAGTTGGGATCAAAGGAGCACTGCTTCTGAAGCAAGATGGAGGAGAGACAGAGTTCGTTTACAGTGGGTGGCTTCTGAGAAAAACTGAGGGGGTCTTACCTGAGACTAGCTCTTTAGGACCATCAGAAGAAATTCTGATTACTCAGATTTCAGTACATTTTGTTATTTGCCTTCAACAGACCATAGCTATTGGTTTGGTTCAGGTCTTCTTTTCTGGAAAGAGATGCCACCTTGTTATTTCAGGTCTCAGTGAAATAGATGAACACAAGTGGTGTGCAAATACTACAGTGTCCTCTAGACAGATGAACTGATGCTCTCATAGACCGATGAGGACATTTTAAAATGAAAATTTAAGATGCCCATCCTAGGAACCCCTTATAAGAAGGTCAAGGCACACTTTCTATGATTGTCAAGTGATGTGTGTTTCTCTTTGCCTACTTATTACTTACTCAGATGCTTGAAAAAAATTTCCTTGGAGATTTGTTGTCTTCGCCTTTGCTTCACCGCTTCTATGAACAGATTTCAAAAGTGGCTTGGTGGTCTAAGACAGCAGTTCGCAAATATTAATGTGCTATGAATCACCTGGGGATCTTGTTAAAATGCAGCTTCTGACTTAGGAGATCTAGATGGGCACTGAGTGATCTAGATGTCCTGGAATCCATCTCAGCTATTCTGATGGATCTTCTAACACCTCACACAAATTACTCACAATTTCACTTACTCACTCTTACCTTACCTGGTTGTAAATGAATAGTAAGGGTCGTATCTACCCAACTGACATCTGCAGAGGAAAACAAAACAAAACAAAACATGATGGAAGAGATATATTGAGTAGTCTGAGATACTCTGAAAAACATAGATAGCTTTAGTCAAATATTTGGTTCTTAGGGAGCTATTCCTTGGACCTGCGCTGAGGTTTAAACATTTTTGATGTCATTTTATTGTAGGTACCTGATTTAGGCTTTTAAGCCATTTGAGCTACAGACACGTGGAAACTTAAAGACACATGGTGTCAGAGAATGAAGTGCTATGAAGTTTGAGGAAGAGAAACATAATGGAGACAAGTAATCAGCTAGACTACCAAATTCCTAGCCAGAGCATACGTTGGACACAGTTGAAAGAGAATTGCGTTAGGACTTCCAAATGATCATGTGACATGTGTAGGTGCCCCCAGTATTAAGAAAGTTAGGGGTACCAAAACACCAAATAAATCAGGGAGATGAAAAGGGAAAATTGTTAATTTTTCAAAAGCTCCACTACCAATGTCTGCATATATCTCTAGGCAGCTTAAATCTTGCTTCATATTATAAAGTGTCAACCAGTTGGCCAGTTGAGGTTGAAGAGGAAGAGTAGATGATACCAAGTTTGCATTAGGATATGGTACCCAGCAATATATTTATCATGAGTAAAACTAACTAGCAGAATTCTAAATGACTAAAGGTTGGCAGGAAAGTATAGATGATAAAAGTTTGATTATGAGGACCAGGGCTGACCAAAAGAACTCTAATAGGAGCTACATATGTAATGTAAAATTTTGTAATAGCCACACTGAAAAAGATTTTGTAAAAAAAGATGAAATTAATTTTGATAATATATTTTATTTCACCCAGTATGTCCAAAATATTATCATTTCATCAAGCAACACTAACTACATTTCAGATGCTCAGTAGCCTCGGTGGAAAGTGGCTACTGTATTGGACAGCACAGCTGTTATGAACTCAGCTGGCAATCAGAAGTAATACAGATGCACAAGAAGATGCACTGTAATTCTATCCAAGGCAATAACTACCTACAGCATTTGCTTAACATCTTCCCGAGATCTCTGGATGGAGATGTAGGACCGATAATTCAGTGGTATTGGGGGTGGGGTGGAGGGGAAATATCAGGTATAGTGGAGGATGGATATCACTCATAAAAAATTCGGTTTCATCTACTTTCAAGGCCACCAGAAGAAGGCAACATGGATGGATTGGTTAATTACTCCTGACACAAAGGGTGAAAGAAGAGTGATGTGATGTTGATGGTGGTGGTGGTGGTGGTGGTGCATTTATTTTATGTGCTTTTACCAGAATGTTGATTTTATGCAGCCTTACAGATAGCAGTATGCCTGGAAATAATGTCTGTCATGCAGGTCAGAGCTGTGGGCAAGCTCTCGGCTCGGCTTCACCTGCTGGGGTCCAGGGTCAAGCGTGATGACATGTCATCGCTGTGCACAAAGATGCCCTTATCCTAGAAGGTCTCAGCACTTGTCGGAGAGGTTTTCTCATGAAAACTTCTCAGAGGCAGTTTGACCACGGCAGGATTCAGTAGGAGTTTCAAACGTGTGCTTCTTACCTGGCATTTGTGCTGAGTGGGCAATGAAATATTAGCAAGGAGAGAAGATATGCTACAAAATAGCATAGGTGGCTTCAGAGTAAGGCATTAGGAGATGGGGTGATGTCCCGGGTAAGGGGACACAAGGAGGGATTTCCTGAGTAATCAGTTAGAAAAAGGCTGATCTTCTAGCTGCTTTCTGGCCTCAGGGAGGAGAGAGAAGCGTATGTTTTTCTTGCTTCCACAGTCCAGTGGGTCCACCTCCTCCTGGCCTGTGTGAGTCAGACATTGATTTCTCTTGGCTGGTTTAGACACTGATGCAATCCGTGGCTCAGCAGGTAGGATCAATAATAATGTTTAAAGAGCTACTCTTCCCGAGATGGAGGGATAGTGGTTTCTCGGCACTCGTTTGGCTCCCTAAATGGCCGTCTTCTCTGGGACTCGGCTCTCCGGCGCCGCTGTGCGGGATGTCTGGCTCACTCTTGCTTTCTTGCGCGCGCGCCACTGGGCGCGGCCACGCGCATGCGCGCACGCACAGCACAAACCGCACTGCTGGTAATGGTCGATCCCCCTTAGGTACCGGCGGATTGTATCCAATAACTGCACGGACGGACTGAGGGAGAAGTACACCGCCAAGGCCCAGATGTGCCCCGGAAAAGCCCCTCACGGCCTCCACGTGGTGACGACCGATGGACGCCTGGTGGCAGAGCAGGGGCACAATGCGACTTTCATCATCCTTATGGAGGAGGTAGGAGCAGACACCCCCGGGTCTCGAAGTCAGAACTTGCAAGCAAGCCGTTTCCCACTTTCAGAGAGAGAAGAAAAGGAAGATCGTGTTCCCATAGGTCCTCCTAACAAAGTCAATGATGAGAAGCTAAGGCTTCTGCGAGAAGATAGACGGCGAGAAAGAGGGCTTGGGATGTTTAGAGACCCTCCCTCTTCCCTTCATCCCACAGTACAGACGCAGGCTGAAGTGGGGGCAACTTGTCTCTCTCCGGGCAGGTACAGATCTGAACATATTCTTTGAGGTTCCCCTGTAGGCTATGCTTTGTTAATGAACTGTTTATCACCATTAGACCATATACTGTGAACTTTGCCGCAAGAAGGGAATTCACATTATTTTCTGTTGCTTTCAAGAGCCTTTTTTTTTTTTAAACTCTTAATCCCACTGATTAGAAATGCCCGCAAGGCTTTCGAAGGGTCTTGAATTTATGAGTGTGAAGGTGGAGAAAGATTTTCCCAATTCTTTAAATGTATTTTTACAAAGAATGTCACATAAGTTGCTTTCCATCAGCTACCTGCTCCATTAGGTCTTCTGCAATCTGGGCAGTAAAATCAGACTGTGTTCATTCATGCCAGTATGGAAATAGCTCTGCTGTGTGCTTCTGGCTTCCTAGATGAGTTGTTTCATCTCTTTCCAAACCAGGGAAGTTTTCAGGCACTCCTTGCTGAGCTTCTGGGGCAAGAAAGCTTGCCTGATTTACAAAGCTCTCTAAATTTAAATGCAAATTGCTATGTGCTCTTGAGATCTTGGAAAGAGACCAAAGCAGGCCAGGAGATTTTTCCCTAACTGTGAATACTTTAGAAACCTTTAAAGTCTGGCCCACACAGGACAGGACAGGGAAGGTCCCTTATCCTGGGTTGACAGATTCCTCAGCCTTCATCCACACTGGGTACTTGAATTAACCTTAATATTCAGAGGAGGTCATTATCACATTTCCCCTAGGGAGTTTCCAGGACCAGCACTATAAAAACCTTCCCTTGAATGAATGTGAAGAGCCATAATCTTATCCGTTTGACTTGCCCTCAGTTCATTTCCACTTTAATTTATATTCATAAACTCAAGGGTAGTTGACATTGTGTGGGGGGCAAGGGAGCACCTATCAATATTTCACTCACATCTGGGTTTCCATGGAGGAAGAGACAGACAGTGAAACTGTGATGGATGCATGTTCACGGGGCAGAAGGACTGGCTCGTAATTCCAAAATGATGTATTTCTCCTTTAATTCTACCAACCATTTTTTGTAAATAAGCAGAGATCTAATTCTTCTTTTTCACCTGGGCTCTTTATCTTATGGTCATATTCATTGGAGTTTATCCAAAATGTTGGCCCAATATAGTGGGGAGAAGGACAGTGTAGTGGGATTCAGTATCAGGGCTTAAGAAGCTAAGATCAGCTTGGGGTGGTGCAACTCACTCAAGTCAGCCCCTGACATCACATCCTCAGGCAGCACCCAGGGGGCTCTTGGACTTCCAAGAGGCAGAAACATCTGTGGGCCGAGATAGAAAAGGCTTCAGGGAAGAGGAGGTTTGGGCAGGTGTAAGGAAAATCCAAGATCAACAGAGCACCAATATAATTTTGGCTGGTATGCAGTATTCATCTGTAGAGTGGAAATAATCATCCTATCTCATAGAGTTATTTTGAAGGTGGTATTATATAATATGTGCCAAGTGATTAGCATAATGCTTGGAACATAATAATAAACACTAAAAATAGGAACAATTATAATTACAGCATGGTGGTTGAGAGTCTTGGTATTGACCTCAGACTGCCCGGGTTTAAAATTTAGCTCTTCCACGACTGGCTGCAAAACTTTGGTCTAATGACTTAGTTGATTGTTGTCCCCATTTCTAAAATGGAGACAGTAATACTTTCTACATTATAGAGTTGTGAGGGCATTAATTGCTTAGAACTGAAAAGAAACTTTATCTCTGTTAGCTGTTTCTATGATGATGATGACGGTGACCACCCAGGAGAGGAATAATTAAACCATGTGTGTGAGGTGGCCAGGGAAGCCCTTGGCTTCTCCACTTCAGAGATTCACGGAGGCACTACCTTATCCACAATTGCCAGTTTCAAGCAAATCACGCTGCCCTGAGCTTGGGCATCCAAGGGCAATAGGTCCTGGTACCTGCTCATTGTGCACAGTGAATATCAGATAGGAGTCTGATGATTGTGTTGAGGGTGTTTCGGCCCCCTGGAGGAGACTGCAGGTCCTCAGAGGGTGATGCTGAAGGCACAGGACCAGACATCAGATAGAGGCAGGTTGGACCATGTGAATGGGCCCAGGTCAACTGCTAGTCCCCCCTGCAGGGTGATCTCCAGAGGACAAACATTCAGCTTGACTTCGGGGATGGGATTGCAGTGTCCTACGCTAACTTCAGCCCCATCGAGGATGGCATCAAGCACGTGTACAAGAGTGCGGGGATCTTCCAGGTGACAGCCTATGCAGAGAACAGCCTGGGCTCGGACACAGCCGTCCTCTTCCTGCACGTGGTCTGTAAGTAGCATGAGCCATCCCCTCTCTAACTCTTCTCCCAGTTGACAACTCCCTCTCTCCGAACTTCCTGGGATTCCAAGCTGGGCTGGATCTGGTGTGACTGCTACCCCAAATGGTGACCCCAATCAAAAAATTGAGAAGTGGGCTCATCTATGATTGAGTTTCATGATACTGAAGTAGGCTGATTATTTTGAAAATTTGGATAACATTATCTACTGGTCCCTCCTTTTCAGAACTCTGTTCTGATGTAAGTGTGTACATGCAAACACACATTCCAGTAAAAGTGCCCTCCCTTTGATTTGGAGACTCCTTAATACAGAAAGAGGATACTTATCTCATTCCCGGCCACAGGAGCATTCTCAAGCTGCTAAGAATGAAGGTGGCACAACTCAAAGTAAATTGTTATCTCCCCTGGAAGAGCCAAGGAGGGATCGAAGAAACACATGCCGAGATTGTTTTAAATAGAGAACTAGAGCACACAAAATAACTTAATTCTTACATCCAAAGTTACTTCAACTTCATTCCAGTTGTAAATCATTCTAAGAACTCTCCAAGATATTTTTGTTGGCCTAGAATGTATTTCCTGGCTACTGGCACCATCCAGAACAATGGCTAAAGTTCCAGAACAGTTGTTTATACTGGATGCATTTTGTGTATTTGCTCTCCTGGAGCTTGACTCACATAAACTGAAACTTAAATAGGATTTTAAAATGTTGGGTCAAGGAAATGTTATTATGAGGCTGTTACTGGTTTATTTTACCTTTATATTGACATTTATGGGTCTAAGGACTTGTGTGGTTCTCGTATATCCACAGTATTTGGGATAACATGCTATATATGGTGCAAATTGTATGGTTTAGCAGAATCTAGTTGAAAACAAGGGACACCTTTCCTATTAACAACTCAGTAATGATATAAACTCTACTATATAAACCACTTACACTTAAAAGATCCCTGGGAAACAGTAACCTAGCTAATCTCCTCGCATCCTGGTCACTGTAGTAGCATAAGGACCAGCAGTGGTGAGGGAAGTACATGAAAAAGACCTGGATTATGTATGTTGCATCCTTAAAGATGCCAGGCTTACACGACCATGACATAAATTATTTCTTCTCTAGGTCTTCTGACTTCAGTTTTAAAATGGCTTAGTCCTAACTGGTACCTTGCTTCACAGGACTCTAGTCACAGTAACAGGAAACACAAATGACACACCTGATCATTCACTCATGTATTCAGGGACTGTTTGTTGAGGTCTGAATGTACGTACACAAGGCATCCTGCTAGGGGAGGCAACGATGCAGAGATGGCCCTGCCCTTGCAGGGTTTGTATTCTGGTGTGTTGTGGGGGGCGGTCCTGCTAGACATGAGCCATTGAGAGCCCAAGTGGTGATGACCACACTACACCCACTGTAGTAATTCTGTCCTAGAAGCACCGGGTCAGAAACCCAGGTAGGTGGTGGTCAAGGTGTTCCCGAGGCAGGTTTAGCGCAAGGGAGCCCTGTGTTTGAATTCTGATCATATCCCTCTGTTAAATGTCTAACATTGATCAGACTTTTTAATCCTCACAGACCTCTGACCCCTCACCTTTAGTACTTACACTGTGGCGAGGCTGTGAGAATCAAACTGGATCGCGTGTCTGTGTCTGGGGTCCCCCAGACACCTCCCCCCAGGCATAGTGATTTGCTAGAAGGACTCATAAGGTCAGCATCTAGTCCCACCTCCTGACTGTGACTTATTATAGTGAAGAGAGACAAAGCAAGGTCAGCAAAGGGACAAGGCCTGTGGGACTGAGTCTGCAGGAAACCAGGTGCACACACCCAAGAGTCACACAGAGCACACAGCTTTCCTCCAGCAGTGAGCTGTGGCAACACGTGTGAAGAGCTGCTTACAGAGGAGCTCGCTGGAGACTCAGTGCCCATGGTTTTTTGGGGGGATGGTTCAAGAAGCAATCCTCTGCCTGGCTGATACCAAAATTCCAGACTCCTCGAGGAAACCATTTCATTGGCAAACATAGTCTAGGCAGAGTGAACCACTCTTCTCAGCCCACTGTTGATTGGAAACACTCCCAGGGCCAAGTTCCCAGATGCCACAAAGGGCCAATCATACACACAGGTCTTCCTAAGGACGGCAATTTCAGAGCTCTGTTAATGTTTTTCTGTACAATGTGCAAAATGCCCCTTAGCACCCAGCTCAGCACAGGACGAATGCTACCTGTATAGTCATTACAACGTATTTCCTGTCAACTTGCCACCTGGCACTTCTGCTGCATTTAAAAATGAAGACAAAGTTCAAACGGATTTACTTTCCTCTATTCCAACCCCCTGCCCAACCCATGTTCCTAATTCTGCCAAGAGTGGGCCTTGTCTTCTGGGCACAAATACCAAGGTGCCTCAGTGGCAAAAAACACAACAGCAAGGAGTAGGTTTATGCTGCGGGTTATGTGCGTGAAGGAGGAAATGTTCCTTGAAACTTTTATCTTGCTCATAATTCCCTCCAAATCAATCATGGCTACATTTACCAGACGGTTACTACAGTGGAAACTGCTCTTGGCCTCACCTTGGGCCATTAGCTAACAAAAGTAGCTGCTAGCTGCCTGTAATAACCAATCTCGCACAGATTATTAGATTTTTATCAAAAAGAGCCACCATGTGACAGTGAGGATCTTAGGAGTTTGCTGTTTCCTCTTCTGAATCTGTTCAGCTTTTTCTCCCGGATCTGTGGTTTGTCTGTAGGTTGAAGCCTGGAGCTTCTGGCTCAGGATTTTTTTCCTAAAAAGCTGGTACATGTTTTCTTCAAGGAAATAGCGTCTCAAGATGATATTTACCCAAACACGCTGGTTGTCAGGAAGCTGCCATCAATGTGGCCATGCTTGCTGGGGTGCCAATTCGTGGAAGCCCTGTCCCTTTTGTGTGTGGCATGGATTTAGGGAGAAGGAAGTCACCTTTTATACTTTGGGGCATCAAAGGACCCAACAGTGTGAGCCGTGGTTCAGCCAAGGCTTATGAGCGACAGAAAACTGGGAAACCTGTCCTGGGCCACGAGTCATAGCGACATCATCGCTGAACTATGGAAAAGCCTGGGGTTCTCATGAGCTGGCCAGGGGAGAGGGCTTCACGCATTTTGAGGGAGACAGAGAAGAACCAAAGCATTACTGCTCAGCCATAAAAGGAAATAAGCTAATGCCATTTGCAGCAACATGGATGGACCTGGAGATCGTGATTCTAAGTGTAGTAAGCCAGAAAGAGAAAGCAAAATACCATATGATACCACTCATATGTGGAATCTAAAAAAAAAAAAAAAAAAAAAAAGACAAATGAACTTATTAACAAAACAGAAACAGACTTCCATAGAAAATAAACTTATGGTTGCCGGAGGAAGAGGGGTGGGAAGGGATAAATTGAGAGTTTGAGATTCGCAGATATTAACTACTACATGTAAAATAAACAACAAGCTTCTACTGTATAGCACAGGGAACTGTATTCAATATCTTATAGTAGCCTAGAATGAAAGAGAATATGAAAATGAATATATGTATGTATATGTATGACTGAACTATTATGCTCTATACCAGAAATTGACACAGCATTGTAAACTGACTAAATTTCAATTAAAAAAAAAAGGAAAGAGGTATTGACTTTGAGGGTAAAGGGAGAAGAATGAGAGATCTGAGGCTGGACGTTAAAGAGTCTGAGATGTTAATATAAGACACAGGTTTCTTACCTTCCTCCCAGGACACAGCCTGGCCAGGGACCCCACCCCATCGCCTCATTCTCTTCCACATTCGTCAGTAAAACACAAAAAACAAAGAGCGATAAATAAGATAAACTCCTAAAAATGAGTAAATAAAGCAGGCCAAAGTGGCCAGTGTTTTTTCACACCTTGTGCTTTTTTTTTAATTCTCACCAACAATCAAACCATACAAAAATAATTAAACAGACTTCCTTATTGAAAATAATTAAACCTTTAGCCAGATGTGCATCTGAAATGACAAGGTTTGAAATTCTTTCCTGGACGAAGTCTTGAGGTGCCGGATGACTGGGTCAGGTGAGAGCACAGGCAGAGAGGATTTTCACGCTGTAAACGTGCGGATTCTTGGTCCCTTGTTGATTGTTCGGGAAAATACCATCTGGACAGTGTCACGCAGGTCTGTCTGATCTCCTCACTCAAACATTAATCCTGTCCCGACATGTTTCTCTCAGTATGAATTTACCCATGACACAGGATATGCTCACTGTCTTAAGACGGACTTCTCCCCAACGACACACAGAAGTAGTGTTGGTGTGGTGGTGTTGGTAGAAATCGTGCCAATCCATAATTAATTATGTGGTCCTTTTAACATCCACACATTACTTTCATATGCTCGTACTCATGTAAGGAAGGCAGAGGACAGTGCAGCAGTCTGTGTAGGGTCAAGGTTCTGGAAGATAGAGAAGAGGTCATAAGCTAAAATTAAACAGGAGCAGAAATGAAAAGTGTCCATCTGTTTTCTTCCCTTTAAACTGAGCTGCCTCCAGAATAACCAAGGATATAAAACAGTAAAGGCTGAGTGGCCTGAAAAATGTCCCACCTTTGAGAAGAAGTCAAGGTCCCCAGGCTAAAGAGATGTCCATGCTACGGTTGTGATCATTGGCTCATCAGCACTGTCATGGTGGAAACCAGGAACACGTGCTCTAACCGAGTGTGGGCAGACAAAATATTTTAACTGGATTTGGTTAAGTAGGAAAGATATAAGGAAAGGAAAAGAGGAAGAAAGGGAGGAAAAGAAGGGGATAGGAAAAAAAATGAACAAAAACAGGAAGAGAAAGGGGTGGGGGTTGGGGAGAAAATCCCACAGAGTTAAAAAAAAAATAGCATATCCACCCCTTAAATGCAATGCTGACGCATTAACATTTCCCATCAGCGTTTTCCTCTTCTCATGTTATTTTGGAAATGAATTAAGTTAAAATCCTTACTTATTATGCATAGAGTGTGTTCCAATATATTCTCTTACTTGCTAGTTTAGAACTTGAGACTGCTTGTATCAGTTTTCTGAGGAGTGAGAAAAAAAACAGAAGTTTGATCACCTTTTTGCAAGCAGCTTTTTTTTTTTTTCTTATTTGGGAACCTGGTGCTTATTTCTCCTTCAATCTAGGGAGATGTGCATTTCTCTTTTTATAAAACAGCCTTGCCAGCTTCTCACTGACACCCACTGTGTGTGAGGGTTGCAGATGACAGGCCCAAAGGCCGATCGTTGAGCAAGGTGGAACCGATAAACAATTGAGGATAATGGACACGCCCTCCATCTAGTGCATTGACCCCAAATCACAATACAGGCTAATCGCCAGAAATGAGAGCGACCACTGTTTGCCTTCCTATTTATTGGCTAAGTGTCCAATAAGCTAGCTTTGTCCTTGGACTGGAAGTTCATAAGCATTCTCAGTTGGGCTCATCAGATTTAAATAATGTTCCCGTGTCACTGAAAAAACATCTGAAGCCGAATTTGACTTCCCTTATTATATGTAATGCTTTATTTCAAGCACAAACACACACACACACACACACACACACACACACACTTCTCAACATGTGTGAGTTTGTGACCATTGTTTTATCACAGGTGATGGTAATAGGGGTTAGGAGGAGGAATCTGGGAGTGTGATAGACTGCTTATTCAGGACTGTGAGCACTGACATTGTTTTTCTCATCCCCTTAGGTCCTGTGGAGCATGTGCACCTCCGAATTCCGTTTGTGGCCATCAGAAATAAGGAGGTCAACATCAGTGCAGTCGTGTGGCCCAGCCAGCTGGGGACCCTGACCTATTTCTGGTGGTTCGGCAATAGTACAAAGGTGCGGCCCTTTCTGATCGGTGTCTGGTTAGATCTGTACTGAACGGTCCTATGTTCCAACTTCTATGTTGATGTTGGGGGTGCTGGGGATGTGGACCACAGGGAATGCACAATGACGTGATGGGTCCACGTAGTTGACTATGACATACCTTCCTGCAGCAAGTTCATTGTTATAATCTGGAGAGGCCTGGTAATCCCTAGGATGAAAGAGCACTGGGAGAATCTACAAAACTGGTTGTCCTTGCTCCTCTAATGAATATTTCTGAAACTTCACCGGCTCC